GGGCGAAATGCACAGCCTCAAGGCGAATTTGATTGATCTACGTATACTCTGTGCAAACAACTGACGAAAGAAAGATATTTAGATATTTTGAGAACTAAATCTCTTGGTCTATGAAATATTCATAGCTACAATTAAATGATTTATTTAGTACGATTTGGTCCATGTTCTCACCGTCAAGTCGGTGATTACCGTATTCGGATTGAAGGATCAAACTGAGGTGCGTAGTCTAGGACTTTGATACATACATACCCTTCGTATATACACGTAATCAGCCTCAAACTCATGCCAAACGTAAGCTTTTGATTGGCGCTTCCTTGCCTTTTCACTCTTCACAAATTGCAGTTTTACTAAATGTTATTTTGTGAATTTACATTTCTATTCACACCCGAAAGTTCCGATGTTTATAAACAATGGCGCTTACAAGGCATATTTGGCTTTTGATACTTGGCGCTGTGATGAGTGAGAGACGACTGTGGGCCAAGTTAACGGTTGAGTTTACCTGAAACTGTTGTTGGCACATGCTATGCTACCTACTAATGTATTGACTCGGTTATGTCGGCTCGATATATTTACTCATTATGCCGCATTTATCGACTCTCAAGACTCTGTTTGTTACTGTCTACTACTAAGTTCCATTGTCAACATGTGAGTTTAAATGAGGTGCATGCCCCGCAATCATGACTCTCCCATTGCTTGCAGGGGCCGTTCGACGTCACTGGCCCCATTCACTGAAAGCCCCTCTATTCTATTCAACCTCACCAACAAGCTCTAGCTAGCTCAAGCTCAAGCTCCATCAGCCGGAACAACTAAAGCCGCCACAACCTCGCTCTGAATACCCTCAACTCAGACTAGAGAATGCCCGCCCCCGAGATCCCAAACCTTCTAAATTCTCTCCGCAGCGCACGAGGAGGGAGAGGCCGCGGTAGAGGACGAGGGGGTCACGCCTCATCAGCTGTTACTCACGATGCTACCATCCAAGGCACAGATACTGATGCTTCAGTGTCGAGGCTGAGCGCTGTTGATTTGGGGTATCTCGATGATCCGTATGCTCAGTACTTTGTGCAGAGTAGCGATGGACCCGTGGCAAGACGACTTCCTATAATCAATCGAGGTGTGCTATAAAACATCGATCGTCATGGCCCCCAATGTATAGGTACTCATTCATACCTTTTATAGGAACATATACTCGCACCATGTCTCTGGACACTCTCATCGAGTCGTTTCTGGACGGCGATCAAGACAGTAAACAAGGCGCAGGACCGAAACAGGTGGTGTCTTTGGGGGCTGGTACTGATACACGCCCTTTTCGATTATTCGCTTCAGAGTCGCGTCCTGGATTGGTCTATCATGAGCTTGATTTCGAAGTTGTCACCTCAAAGAAATTGCGGACTGTACAAGCCACGCCCAAGCTGAGAAATATCTTGAAAGATGCTACTCAGTTGGCTCAACACTCGTGGTCAGCCAAACCCACTGGATGCGAATACTACTGCCATGGTCAAGACCTGAGAGGTTTCTCTCAGTCAAAAACACCAAAAGAGGAAGATGGGACAGAAACAACGACGAAGGAGATCTCTCTCCCTGGTCTACGGACCGATATCCCTACTCTACTTCTCTCAGAGTGTTGTCTCTGCTACCTCACCTCCAGCGAAGCCTCAGACGTAATCGACTTCTTCAGCTCACGGATACCCAACCTCGGCACAATTATCTACGAACCAATCCGTCCAGACGACGCCTTTGGCAAGATGATGGTGTCGAACCTAGCAGCGCGTCGCATCCAAATGCCCACTCTTCAGATGTACCAGACACCGGAAGACCAGCGGGTGAGAATGAGCAAAGCTGGGTTTGAAAGGGTGTACCATATGACAATTGAGGATATATGGCAGAATTGGGTGTCGACGGATGAGAAGCGGCGTGTGGATTCGCTGGAGGGGTTGGATGAGGTTGAGGAGTGGAAGTTGTTGGCGGCGCATTATATCGTTGTTTGGGCTTCGAAAGGGAAGGGGTTTGAAAGTTGGGGCAGTGTAGACGGACGATATCAGTGAACAAATACTTGCAAGTTAGTTGACTCACGATTGTGTGCAATTCATATCAAATATTGCACAAGCACAGGCGATATAATTGTCGAACACGTTTGAAGGATCACTCAAGTAGGAGTTGAAGCGACTCAAGTCTTGATGAATTCACATATATCGTGTCTTGTCTAACTGACTATCATGACTTGTCTTGGGCGCAGGAACAACATATTTCCTATTTGAGTTTAGCCCCCATCCTCACTCACGGGCCTTCGTCCCGACAAGTCACTTTCCATCTTCAGGGCAGGCGAGCCAACATTGATTGACCTCTAAACCCGCCATTTGAAAATTACATACACATTTATATACAACTTATTCAATCATTTAGAACTTATTCCTCAAAGTACTATCCAACTCGAATACGATATCGCTACAAGCAGGACCAGCTTCACAGACAATTGACCGTTGCTCTCAGACAGAGCATCAAGGTAATGCGATGCGCCTCACCCTCTCACTACTATTCCGTACACTCTAGGCCTTCATTACTTGACAGAACTAACTCAAATATGCAGATAATAACAACTAGTCTTGGATGATCAAACCTATCAAGTCCTCTCAGGCGCATAACAACAACAACAACTCCTTGACGTGCTCATCTCACAACGCGACAAGATGGCGGATTCAAGAGATAGCAAGTCGTACAAATATCGCCAGGAAATCAGTCAAATGATGTACGTCTCAGGCGAAACCGCAGAACCACCCGTCGAAACAACAAGTATCATCGAAGACATTGTCCGCCAACAAGTCATCGAACTCGTACGTCTAGTCTCTCTTCCACTCTCATCTCATCTCATCTCATCTCATCTCATACTAAACAACCCCTCTCAGCTCCGAAACTGCACCGAACTCGCTTCGCGTCGCGGCTCAAAATCCATCAGCATCAACGATCTCATCTTCCAAATCCGCCATGACCAAGCAAAAGTCTCTCGCCTGCGCACGTTCCTCTCGTGGAAAGATGTGCGAAAGAACGTCAAGGACTCTGATGACAAGGGCGCTGATGCCGATATCGCTGCTGGTGATGATCCCGTCGCTGCCGGTGATAACACAACGGATGAAGCAGCCAAGAAGAACAAAAAGGCAAAGGTCGGTTTGCCCTGGGAGCCTTCGTCTTACTACAACGTCGAGGTGCCTGAGCGCGAGGATGAAGAGGATGAAGAGGAGGAGGAGATGAACTACATCACGCTGCAACGTCTGCGCAAAGCAGATGAGCGCACCAAGGCCATGACCAAGGAGGAGTACGTTACATGGTCCGAATACCGTCAAGCATCCTTCACCTACCGCAAAGGCAAGCGATTCCGCGAGTGGGCAGGCTTTGGCATCGTGACAGACAGCAAACCCTCCGACGATATTGTTGATATCCTCGGCTTTCTCACCTTTGAAATGGTCCAGACCCTCACCGAGATGGCCCTCAAGGTCAAGGAGCAGGAAGATCTAGTGCGCGCTCAGAATGGAGGAGACAATGTTGGAAATGCAAAGAAGCGGAAGCACGAGGGTGCGCTCTTCGATTTTCCCAGTGAGGGAAAGACGCCAATCGAGCCTCGCCATGTTCAAGAAGGGTCTCGACGATTGCAGCAGAGGCCAAAGAAGTCGAGGGCCATGCTCAACGGCACCAGAATTTCACAACACACGCCACTCAACATCTTCTAACTTGGTGGTCTACATGTGCAACACTCACGAGTTTATTGTGCGGCAAGGCGTTGGTTTAGGAACACCACCAACGTTAGGTCTGCTTAGTGGGAAAGGCGCATGGAAAGGGTATTTGTATGTTGATTAATAAGGTATTACTTGATAGATTGGTGCCAACCACTCGTCGGCTATTTCTACTTGTCTTTCGCGACTTCCATGCTGTATCTCCCAAACCTATGCTCGAGACACAGACATTTTGCGTCGTCGAGCAGCTGCAGCATCCTCACAGAGTCGCGTGCCGACTCTTTGTAAACTCACGGGTACTTCCTCCTCACCGTCACTATCGGCCTCCTTCTCATTATCCTCTTTTTTATGATTCCGCCTTCTCGAATGGCCTGCACGGATTGTTTGCGTTCGCTGCAGTCCACTCGCTCTACTTTCGACCGTTGGAACCTCCTCTGCTGGAACACCGGTCGTGCGGCTATCAGCAGTCGGCACGCGAGACAGAGGCATCCGCGTCAAGTGCTTACGCTCCCGATAGTTGCTAAGAGTAGGAGTCTTGAGTAGACCGCTGCGGAAATCATTAACTCCAACCAGAATTTTAACAAGCTGTACAAGCTCTTCGAGATATTCGATGATCTCCATCTGTCCAGAAGTGCTCGCGTTCCAAGAAAGAAATCGTTTTTGGGTTATGAGGTATGCGACCTGCGCAGCTAGCTCCCCATTCTCGTCAAAGACACTGGGTGGCTCCCCAGCCGGTGTTTGCGTGCCACTCCTGGACGCAAGAATCTCGCGCACATGGTTGACTAGGCGCAGTTGTGCCAGACAACTTGACGGGATAAACTGTGGCAAAGGCGTCCAGGTAATGAACGCCTCGTAAACCGTGAAAAGTGTCAGCATGATACTGGCAGCCACATTCCGTCGATAGGCGTGGACTTGAGGATTCAAGTCTTCCAAAATAGACGACCCATACTCTCTCCGCAGCATCACAACGTTTTCCATCCTATCGATAATTTGATGCAACACATAGAAGATCTCTCTGTAGACAGGCACGAGCGGTTTAAAATCACCCTTTAGTCGCGGCTCAGTAACGGAGAATGGGAGAAACGTCTCGGCCGCAGCCAGAGCTCCTCGTGCTTTGTTTGTGGCACGACGAAAGCGCTTGTTGAGGTCGGCATTCCGGAAATTCGGCTTGATGGGCTCGTCCAGGCCAATAGCCATTGCGGCTTGCATATTCTGAACCTGTTTGACCGATGCTGCGACCGACTCAACTAGTCGATCCCTGGCCCGGACAGGGTATAAAACAAGTTCAATCACCAGCGCAGTGGTCCCCCCGATGAGAAAGGCACACAAGCGCTTATAGAAATAGTGATAAGCGGGCTCGGCGCCGTTAACAGCAGCTAGTAGTACTGTTAGTATACTAAGGATACCCGAAACGATAGCAACTTACAGAGCGCGACCACGACCATTGTAACTGTGGAGATCATGCCAGCCTTGACATATCTAGTGCCAAGCTGGACATAGAACGACGGCACGATACCAATGATGAGAAAGAAACCCATGGCAATCAGACTTCTGTTTCCCACTATGGCACATGCAAAGCCAAAGGCACTACCTGCTACGACACCGCAAAGACGAATGAAAAAGACGTGGAAGGACGTTCCTATGGCCACTTCAAAGACGAGAAACAGCTGCATCGGTGCCCATATGCCACGATAGGAGCCGTACCATCCAGACTGAGACTCCACAAAAGCTGGCCAGCTGAGTAAGAGGATGGCGATTGTGAGCTTGAACGCATATTTGACGTGGTCCGAGTCCTGGGTCCATTCCAAGGCATCGGCTGCCATCCCTCTCATCTTGAGCATCTTACTGCGTTTCTGAGGCTGAGTTTGCTCTTTCTCTTGTGGTTGTTCAGCGTTGCGGTCCTCTCTCGTCTGAAGAACTGGCTCTGCAAATCGAATGCCTTTTTGTTCATCCTTTCCCTTTGGGGGCTTTGTTTTCGTATCTTTGGTGCTTTGCTGTGTTTTATTTTTTGACTTGTGTCCTGTTGTACTCTTTCCTCGACGAGCTTCTTTGCGAGCAGCTTCGGGCAGAACAAAACCGTCACTCTCACCACCAGAAATCAACCACTGCCTGATCTCAACATGTTTGGGAAACCAGACTGTGGCCTTGTCGTTTCGAGCTTGCCTCTGTTCGACAGTCTCTCGAACATGGCGAAGCATCTCCAAAACATACTTAGCTGCCTGGCGCAAACTAAGTACGAATGAAGAGATCAAGAACGTTTCCATTCGGGGCATAAAGTCCGTGCTATAGCCACTCTTATCCATACCTGAACGACGAAGCTCCATGGAGCAGCTGGCATCGAAATTAGCGATCGCTTCCGCGAAAAGGTCGATTCTAAGGTCCAATTCTTGGAGATGGATTCCTCTTGGGGTTGGTGCCCCTGAAGGCAGTCTTCGTACATCATTGCAATAAGCGACACATATGATGACCAGGCGTACAGCCTCCTTCAGCGAACCCTCAAACACCTGAACAGGCTCTCGGATACGCTCAATGATGGACTCAAGAAGACTTGCGCTACTAGCTTCGATCTCTCTCAGAGGTTTGCTTTCTTCAACCCTTTGAAGGTAGTCATCAAAGGTGCTCATGCGTTTGATTCCACTGGGCCCGGACATATCGCTGTCGCTTTCGTCATCGGTGCTGTCATTATTCTGCAATACTATGAATTTGTTCTCACATGCAGCGATGATGTTGACAGTGTTTTGGACGAGGTTGCTCATAAGGGAGGTAGTCAGGGGCTTCATGCTGCTTAGAGGAAGGACAGATACAGAGATCTCGTAGTTGACTTCCTTCTGGGCAGCTCGGCAATGAGTGTGACGTGCGCGAAGACTCCCCTTGTTGCCTATCAGACTGGTGATTGTCGTAAGGCCAACTGGAGTGGTGGACATATGATATCGATGCTGAGATTGTTTAAAAGGATTAGGAAACTGACTCAACCACTTGCGGAAACGACCCTTCTTGCGCTTTGGTTTCTCGGGGACACTCTTTACGGTGTTTGTCATTGTAAGAGCAGTTATAGTGGAATCTTGTTCGGAATCAGCACCGGGTGTGATGAACCAATGGGTAGCCCGTGTCACAGTATCCATCGTTTCGATAAGAGCGTCAATGGCAGATACACCCAGGTAACTGCTCGATAGCTCGGGAAAGATTGATAGGTTGACCACAATTGAGATACCACCGCCGACCATCATAGGGTAGAAGGTGTGTGTAATAACCTCTGAAGAGACCGAGGTGTAACCCCCGAGCAGAGTAATGATATTGGCAATAAGAAAAAAGGTGACAAATAAGAACATGCGGGGACTAGCCGATCTTACGTAGCCATGAAAGAAAGCCGCTATAGTGAAGAATACTGCGCAGATAGCATTATGGGCTGTTTCGTTTCTTGCTCGAAGAGAAGCCACCGTAGCCAGCCTGAGTGCAACTATGGACCACGCAAGCCCGAATAAGGTGCCCAGCAGCATCATGAGAAGGGTCTCGATCATGGGGCCCAACCTTTGACCTGGATGAGCAAAGACAGTAGCCATTGGTGCAAGAAAGGTCGAAGGGCCTAGGACCGCCCTGGCTTGAGGACTCATAACGGCGACGACCGAGCCGATACTAGCGATGGAGCACTTGATGATCTGTTTCCATAGATCGTTGGTCTCGGTGTCAACCCAGAGGACTATGGCCAGTTCTCGAAGGCGTTTCGTTATAGTTTTCATGACGGGTGATTTAGCCATGACTGCGGTAAAGGTAAAGATATAAGCTGATACTTGAGTGAATCCGTTGGAGCTTGATGAGAATCGTCAGTCATCCTCTCGTCTTGCGGATGGACGCTTCGAGATTCGCGTGAGCGCCAGATAAGAGAAGAAACAGTCGAGCACGGCCAGCCATGCATGCAGAAGGTGAAGATGATAAAGAAGTCCAAATCGTCAATGGTCGATGATGTCTAATCATGCAATTCATGCCCAGCAGTAGGGGTTCGGATTCCTTAATATCGTATCGCGTCTTGGGCTCCAAGGCTTGGCTACTCGTGGGTCATGAATGATTCGTGTCTGCAGGGGGGGACTATGTCATTGCTTTTATAAGAGTATTATATTAAGATGATAAGAGTTTTCCAAGATGAGAGAGGGAGAGTTGTCGTATAATCATGAATCGTGGGAATAAGCAATTGATTGATGCAAATGGAAGTCATGGAAACACAGTGAAACAAAACGATGATTGACCAAAACTTGGAAAGTGCCGGAGATGGAACATCGGCACAAGACGCTAAGGCAGGTTCCATTGCCCACGCGACGTGCCGAGACCACGACTCTCATCTTCCAGGGCAGTCAATGGCATTATACTCAGTACAATTGGCTTATACAAGAAGTATTCTGTTGTAATTCAGAGCCAGCCTATAAGATCGTTTCTGTAAAAGAGAAAAAAAAGAGAAAACGACTAATTTCAAGTCATATCAACGTTTTTGCGGGGGAGTAAACGGCCCATCTGCACCTCAGCCAAGCCAAGCAAGGGGCCTCTATCTATCCTTGGTGACAAAAAGCCTTGGGTAAACTTAGGCAAACTTGGCATAACTTAGTAAAGATTCAGAGCATCTTCGGCTAGATATTTTTTGCACGTCAATCTAACGTCAGAAGTCTTCTTACACCCTGCAGCTAAGCCTGGTTGCACAACACAAACAGGGGGTAAACGTGTCGGGTACTAACTAGAAACCGGGGCATCCCCAGGGTCTCTTAGTGGCCGGCAGCCTTGCAGCTCTTCAGTGGCTTCATCCCTACCACACTCGACCAATCAGTGTCAACCCTTGTGTTCCGCGACAGCCTCCTAACAACGTCGGCTTATCCATGCCACCATCTACCCCAGCTCTCCTTTCACAAACGTCTCTCTCTCGTCGTGAGCTTCAGCCTTGCCCAAAGCCAAGATGCTTTCCTTTATCCTAATTCAGAACCGACAGTACGTTCTCCCAAACTCGCGCACTCTCTCCGATTCCAAAGGTACTGACTGCTTTGCTTTTCAGGGGCAAGACTCGTCTCGCGAAATGGTACGCCCCTTTTAGCGACGAGCAAAAGATCAAGCTCAAGGGCGAAGTCCATCGCCTCGTCGCACCCCGCGATCAGAAATACCAGTCCAACTTTGTCGAGTTTCGCAACAACAAGATCGTCTACCGCCGCTACGCCGGTCTTTTCTTCTGCGCCTGCGTCGACACAAACGATAACGAGCTTGCCTACCTCGAGGCTATTCACTTCTTCGTCGAGGTTCTCGATGCCTTTTTCGGAAACGTTTGCGAGCTTGATCTTGTTTTCAACTTCTACAAGGTCTATGCGATTCTCGACGAGGTCTTTCTGGCGGGCGAGATTGAGGAGACGAGTAAACAGGTTGTGCTTACACGGTTGGAGCATCTCGACAAGTTAGAATAAGGCCTGCGCTTGGTTGAGGTCTGGAAGGCTGTGGGAACAGGCGGAATGTTTTGAAATACTGCTTCACCTGGCCGAAATCGTCATTTGCATATCATAAGGGCAGGCAGGAGTTGAGGCGTTTCGTGGAGGCATCCACAGTATCGAAAATATATACCATTATCGCTGCTTTGTCCCTTTTATCCCAATATCCCGCTAGAAAGAGCATTGAATTGGATATACAAACGACACCTGTTCGACTCATTCCGTCAGATCAATGGGAGACGAGGTCGTGCCGGATCCTTTCAAAACCAACCTGGGGCTATTACCACCACCAGTGTCGAGCCTTGCTTTCTTCTCCGCTGGTGCTTCCCCATCTTCTCCTTTTATGTCCAGCGACGTAGTCTCTTCGGCTTCTTCGGACTCTGCATCTGTATCTACAACAGTCTCTATGCTCGAGAACGGAATATCCTTCGTCGGCCAGTTCTCCAGGGCAGATTTGATTTTTGCATCATTCGCATGCTCGTCAAACTTTCTAATTTGACCGCGGGTCTTGAACTTCAATTTTCAGCAGAGGAACTTCTGAACATGTTGTTCGCCTTACATTGTGATTGCGCAGTGGAGGAGGCATTTCTTCAACCAAGCTAGGGGGTCGTATAGGCTCTGTGTTCCTATACCTGTTAGCACGATATCCATACCCCTGCTAGCTGAGCACCATACTCAAGTATAAGGAACTGATGCTCTATTTCATGACGTAAAGAATTTCTCTTCTCCCTCCACTGTCTTGTTTCCGTACGCTCGTCATTGTCTTTAGCCCATATGGCGATCGCATCTTCAACGTTCAACCCCCAACAGACCATAAAGGATACCCATTGCTCGACGACTTGGCTTTGGGGACGCTCTTCTATCGTAAAGTCTTGGTGAATAAGCCATCTCATGTAGATTCGCGCCATTCTCTTAGGTGGGAAGCCTTCAGGCGTGGCAGCAAACTTTTGTTCGAGCAGATCCTGGGAGACTTGAGCCAGTTGTGATACATCTTGCAGGTTGCTCAGACCGAGGGTATTGCGGAGAGTGTTAAGGAGACTTTTATCTGCTTCCATTATGTTCATATACCGCGAAGGTTACCGGAGAGAAGGCTGTACTTGAACAGACTTAGTGAGTGATTGATTGGTGAATGCAGGTATTCCTATACTTTGTATGGATCGATAGAAAGCCGAACAAATAAGCACTTTTCAGAACGTGATGGAAAGGAAGAAAGTTGAAGCAGAAGAAACGTGGGGATCCTGAAAGTAAATACTCCAGACAAGCCCGAAAAGCATAAGGGAGTCGCGGCTGGTGAGTGATTGGGGCATCTTCAAAGTCTACCGATGCATACCTAAGGTAACCATCATCTGTATCAAGCCCGATAAACCTTTGTCAGACCTGGCCATAAAACAAACTATTCTTTTACGGCCTCATTCACTGTTCCATACTTGAATACTCTAGCTCGCAGTCGGAGCAAGCGATCCTGACTGGTTATCACTGACAACCATACACATATATCTTGCATCCGTGCAAGGTACCGAGCCAGTAAGCTCTTTGTATGTAACAGCACGCTCTTGTTCTATGGCTGAGCTGCAGCCAACTAGGTAGTATCAATCAATGCCTTGATCATAAAACACACACAGCGACATGATTCACTCTGACCAAGTTGAAGCGCGCCCCTCACTGAATAGACCTTTCATCTACCCACTATCATATTCTCAAACACAATTCACAGGCTCACAAAACTTGTTCATCAAAAAGATAAACCCTAAAAACTCCACATTGCGCAATATTTACACTCCATCCAAAGCACCTTATCGCTTCTTCAGCGCCGCAAACCTTCTCTCCAAGTCCCCAAGATCCGGAATAGATCCATCAGGCTCACCCTTCCTCGACGCTGGTTCCGCCTTCTTACTAGGCTTCAACTCTACCGAACCAAGCGTCACCTTGGGATGTATGTTGTCAGTCGTCATCCGCGGCGGTGTCACTGTCAAAGGACTTGTGGGACCGCCACCAGCTAGTTTCTTAACTGGCGTGTTTAACACGGGATCTTTGGAATATGCTGCGAGAGGTGTTTCGAGAACCTTTTGCTTCTGACCGCCTTGGTCGTCATCATCATCGTCGTCGTCGTCGTCTAGGAGTTCGGGGGGTGGTGAGACTGCTTCCCGCTTGGGCCAGTCTACTCCGTATGCTCTGGCGATTTCTTCCAGGTATCCCACCACAAGCTCTTCGCGCGGGGGCGTGACGCTGAGTTTCTTGACGACCTTCTCGTTGACCTTTCCATCTGTATTCTCCGTCGCCGCAAGGACATAGTCCTTTCCATACTTCTCCGCGAATAGCGTCCTCACCGTAGCCAACTCTTTGATCTCCGTCTTGGGCGCCGCATATATCAGACTCTGAATGGCCTCCTCCAAACCAGGGTCAACAGTATGCCCCTCCATCAGTCCAGCGCGGGCAAGTAGCAATTCGCAGTAAAGTTCAAGCATCTCGTGAAGCTCGGAGGTGATGTCGGATCGAATGATGTTCTCGACGCGAATGCGGGCTGAGTCTTCCTTTCCGGCCTCGAGGAGCTGAGCCATGGCTCGTCGCGCGGTCTTTCCAAGCTGTTCATCGCGCTGCTGAACCATGCGCAACCGCGCGATGGTGAGCTTCAGCTGAACCTTGAGCTTTGTCTATGGATTGGGAGCAAAATGTTAGTTGATACTTCGACTGGCGCATCATGGCATTGGATGCGATAGCGGGGAAGCGGGGGGCAACGGACTATAAGACTAGCACCTGGCGCCATGATGAGCTCACGAGGAGTGATATAGCAAAGGCCAGTATATAGAGGACGAGTGAGCAAGAAGCCTGAAGAGAGAGCGGGCGGCGGTATAAAGGTGAGATTGAAATACAAAGAATGCTGAGGGGTTCAAGTTGGGCATATTCAGTTGAGGTGCTAACTGAGGTGCGCTGTAGTGTAGCCCGTCCCGCCTTGCGAACGCCCAGACGCTATGAGCTCATTGCTTGAAGCCTTAAAGCCCCACTATAGCTTCACCTCATCCACATCCACATCCGGATCAAGCCGAAGCTCAAAGACTTCAGGCAACCGCAATTATTTGTGTCAGTGAATGGAAGCAGTACTTATCAAGTATAGGCAGAAGCACTCTTCCTGTAATGCAAGGCCTTGTGATAATTAATATACACCAATACTTCCACCCGTAAATACTTAGGTATACAGCTCGTCTCTAGTATGTATCAATAGCCATCCCAGTCAAAACGCTATCTCATAGCTCCAGATGATCTCAAATAATAGAATCCTTCATCGCCATATAACGCCGTACCCTAATCCCAGTGATCCCAAATGAAGTCATGGTTGTACACTCCCTCCCTCTATCTGCCAGGGATTGCAGCTCTACAAGCAGATGCTGCATCTACTCCATATCGGCATCCTGCGCAACTGGTACTACACCATCAGTTGCCTCTCCCTTAAACACGTCGCTGCCTTCGTACGTGACTCTTCGCCATCCACAAGCCTCTTTGTCATCCTTGATCCATTCCATCGTGGGGAAGTAGTGATCGTTCTTCTTCATTGTGATCACCCACGGCACACAGTCAAAGGTTACAGCTTTGAGTCGGAAGTCTATTATATGTTAGCTTTCGCGTCTTTGCAAGTTTCTCAAGAAACAGTGGCTGACTTACAAGTATTGTCTGGAATTTCTCGGGTCGCGGCAATGAAAGAGTCGAGATCAGGTGTAGGAATACCATTGACATGAGTGATGAAGTTGGTTGGTGCAACGCCGTACTGATAGGCAGGCGACCCACGAATCCTACTGGAGACGTAAACCTCACTATGCAGCTTGCTGATCTGTTGTCGAACAGCCTGGTGAGGCCTGTGAAGAATGGCACCACAGAAAGAAACAGCGTGATCTGTTTCCATGTCGTCTGCTGCCACGGTAGGAAGTTGCAGATGCATCTCCTCACACTCTCGCACAATAACTGCGTCAAGCAACTCATGTGAGTACATCAAGTCAAAGTCGGAGATAGTAGTACAAATCTTTCCGTTCAGTGTGAGAATGATGTCTCCTTCGAGCAAAGATACAGGGTGATTCTCGCGCTCAAAGGTTCGCTTGCTGACCATGAACAGCTGATGATGAGATCGGTTAGTCTTGGTAACCTTCTTGATCCACTCATCGGAGACGCCCATGACGGATGCCTGGGCCATCTGGACTGATCTGAACTCGACGGATAAGACACGCAGCTTTGGGTTGATACCCTTCTGAACCGACTCTACGACAGGAAGCAGAGTCTTGGTGCCGAGACCGAGGTAGTACTCTTCGTCGCGTGACGTGTGATGGGAACGCTCTCCCAGATACGACAGCCACAGAGCCTGGACAGTACCGTCTGGCGCGACAAGAACACCGCTGTTGCATGTCGAACCGAGGTTGCTGTCAATCGTGATGGCATCAACATTCACAGCACGATAGCGTGGGGCGCCCGAGTTGGCGGGAATGGCCACCGCAGTGATCTCGGTGACACTTGTAGATCCATGAACAACGCGCCCAATCCTATTGTAGCCGAGGAAATAGGTCTTGGCGCCTTGGGTGAGAACCTCATTGCTCAGACGAGCGCTCATGACCGGTGCATCTACGAGTGAGGGATCGTACTGAATAATGGCGTAGTTCTGAAGGGGATGCAGGAAGACAACCTTGCCTTCGACGATAATGGAGTCAGCAATAGTGACTGTGATGTCGCAAAGATCATAGGGGACAATAGCCCTGGAGATCAGAACGAGACCCTTGTCTGCATCAATCACGAGACCCATGCCCCAACGGCGGTTCTTAGGGAAACCGTCGAGTTTCAAGGGCATAGTGCAGTTGATGTGTACAAAACTGCGGATGAGGTCGGCAATGCCTTGGTGTGGCATGTGGTCCAGTTCAATAAAGGAGGCAGATCGTCGAGTAGGTGGAACAGGAGGCAATGGATCTCCCAGGTCAGTGAAGTCCCAGACTCCCGACTCATCGTTTCGAACAGCAAGTTTCATCTTGGCCGCCCAGTGTCGGTCAATGTAGGCAACGGTAGTATTGAGAGTGTGAAGGTCACGGAGGTGTTTGTAAGTGACGACAACTCGTGCGCGATCTGGGATTGCCTTCATTACTTGGATGAAAGTGTCAAGGTCTGGCACCTTCTTATGGTCAATACTCTGGACAATCCAACCATTGTCGGTGTTATCAAATCGGAATGAGCCGGCTGATTCGCAAACAAAGACACCCTTGACAGCGACGGCATAGAGTCTTGCTTGCTGGTAGGACAAGTCGTGGAAGCTGGCGCCTGCCACTGAAACAAATCGGTCAGGGGTAATCTTGTGAAGATCTCCAACTTCAATCTCGACTTCCACGTCCTGTCCACCGCGCTGGAGGTGCAGCTTAATGGTTTCGCCAACGCTAGAATCCAAAATGTCGTCCAATCGAATAAACTGGGTGATAAGTTCACCGTTGACCTTGATCAAAACGTCACCTTCCTCGATCTTCTTGTCTGAAGGGCCCTGGGGGAGGACAATCTCAGCCACAAGCATGTTGGTCTCCTCTGGAAACTTCTCACGCATGGCAGCCTCCCATTGAGGGCTCAATCCAAGCCTTCTGCATTCGTCAAAAGGCTTGAGAAGAAACTGGCACTGAATGTCGCCACGTGTGACAGGCTTGCCCTTCTGAATGCATTGCAGAGCACGGAGTGGTCGATCTAATGGTAGGAAGTAATCTGTCGAAGCTCCATCAGAACGACCGCCAGCTTGCAGTGCAACAGCGCAGCCGTCCTTGTTCACAACAGGACTGCCAGAACTTCCTCCACTAGCAGCGGCGTTGGCCTGGTAGTAGCACGTGTTGAAATCGCTGTATCCCTCGCCATATTCAGGGGCATTTCGATCCAGGCGACTAATGATACCTGACAGGATACTAAGCTTTTCGCCAGCGTCGTTACCGACAACTCGAATCTCGGTTCCAACTGTGCTTATTAGTCATGGTCCTCGGCCGTGATCGGAGTCGGGGGGTTCTTGGGGCCCTTACCCTTTGCGAGGTCGGGTCGCAACTCTAAGCCATCAATGTGCATATACTTGATCGCCTTGGGATCGTATCGTAGAATACCAAAATCGTGAACGGGGTCGCGGTAGACGGGGTAACAATCGACTTCCTCATGGTTGTCGAAGACACAGTGGCCCCAAAAGGGACCAGCGCCGACAACGTGACGGTTGGTCAAGATGTATCTGCAGGGCCAGATTAGAGCCTCTTCTTAGCCATTATAGACAGAGATTACATACCCTTTCTCGGAGTCAACAACATAGCCAGTAGCTTCACTGGTCAAAGCAGAATCGGTATCGAAAGAGCAAGTCTGGCAGAACCTGATGGCGACAACGTTGCGCACCACCTTCTGAATGGTATCCTGCCACTCTCCCAAGCTCCCTGGTGTTCCAATATACATAGCGTGAGGGTGAAGTTCGTCGGTCATGTCGGAGTGGTCGTCAAATTCAACAATGTCTGGTGTGTTATCGTTTGGGGAATGTTTTCCGTTGATAGGTTTTTTGGAAGGAGGAGCATCGTCTGGCGAGCCCGGGGCCTTTCTTTTAGCCCGGGCTGAAGAAGTTGCGCCATTCATGACTGTTTGATTTTCTGTGATTTGGGAGGGCAAACGCGGCGACGATGTTGGTGAAGGAGGGCGCGAGTTTGGTTTCGTGGTTAAAGGGGATCAAAGGTTGACAACGTCACAGAGAGGGACAGGGATCGCAAACAGTGACGGGACTGAGACAACAGCGCGGGTAACGACAGGGAAACAGAGATGACGGGAGGAAAGAGGGGGCCAGAGATTAAGTAGAGATAGAAGAAGACCAAAGAATGGGTTGATAAGGTAGGATTAAAAGGGTGAACTCATGAGGGCATGTGACGATAGAAAGGCCGGCCCAGGCTTGAGTGAGAAGATGCGATGCGATGCAATGCAATCTGGGGAAAAATTTATGATGGATTCCGTGCCTTGGCCTCAATAGTAGTCCAGTCGAGTCCAGTCCAATCCAGTGATTGAGTGGATCAGCTGCAGCGGCGGGACTCTAAGGTTACAGGGGAAATCATACCCTCAAAAGCCGCTAAACGATGCAAGCGCCGTCATTCCCGCGGTGCCTAGGGGGTGCCTCCCGGTGCCCTTCAAGGTCTGACCCGCCCGACAAGACAAAGAGGTTGTGGGTGTGGTCGAGTCGAGATGGTGTGCCACATAGAGGCAATGGGGACGACAGATGACCAGTCAGAGGGGGGGATGAGATGGTGGGCGATTGAGACTTTTGTACCTATTTTGCTCACCTAGATTGTCAATACCAAGCTTCTGAGTCCTAGATGTTTATATAATGCAACACATCGCACAAGACACCTGACCTTGGAAGTATGTGAGGGTCGTATTTATATGAGACATGGGCTTACGGACCTACAATATATCTCCAAGTCAGAGACAATATTGAAGAGAATCCAAGATATGGAGCACTGATTGATTGATTGATTGATTGATTGACTAACGGGAAAAAAGACACAAACATCGTCTCACTGTTCCCCCTACTCGAGTCTTCTCTTCACGTCATACACATCTACCCAAAAATCACTGCTGTCCTCCCTCATGTAACCAAACCTGCATCATCTATAAGGGTCGCTCCTCGATCCACGAGGCCTTGCCATGCATGCATATCCAAGACAACCCGCTGCCGTCCGAGACACGGAAATAAACGTGGAGGGTTCCCAACCCACAAGATCCTGTGCTATCCTACCATTGTTGCACTGCTTCCCGATCCAGGTGACCACCAACGTGTCTCGTGCGATCCTCTCTTGCATATGCATATCATACAAACATTCAGAGCCCCTCTCTTCGCCTCGACGGCCCGGACTCGAACAGCTCGTCGATCGTTGCTTGCTGCTTTTCTGGGGACATGCAAGTCGGCCAGTGGACGAGATGTCCTCTTCGCTTCTTGACAAAAGAGCCGTACAGTAGCCATGCAAAGAATACTGCCGTGACGCTGAGCGCTGTTGGGTTGTGGAACTGACTGGGTGACGAGAATATGATGGTCGACGTATATGAACACATCTCGAACACATTTTGCCAACTGGCTTCCACAGCAGAAAAGGCTCCTCGTTTCTCTGCCTCAACTTCCTTCAATGCATGGTCAGCAAAGTTCCTCAACCTATACCACAACAGAACTCGCCTCTTGAATAATGACCTGTGCAGACAGATCTACCCCCCAAAGCCCGATTCGGCTCAACATTGAACCGCAGACCAGTCCCAGCGTCGATACCAAGACGTTGTCAGCATATCGCCAGAAGATTGATACACCGATTGCTAAGCACCCCAGTTCCCAGCTGAGGAACCAAAGACCAGCACGAACGGGTCCAATTCTCTTCATCAACCATGGTCCAATCCATGTGGCGAGAACCTCAAGAGTAACCGAGACTGTTCTCATTGCAGCAATCTGAGCTGAAGTGTATCCACTCGCTAGCAAATATGTAACCATAACTCCACCAAAAGACAGAACTGTGCAGTAAAGGAGCGCTATTGAGAACGAGGGGGCAAATGCAGGGTGTGTAAAGTAAAGTCGAAGATCACTGGACGTCTTTTGTATAGCCTTCTTGAACGCTACCCAGACATTCTGACGAGTTTGCTGTTCCTCATTTTGTGGTACAATAGGGGGCGTAGTCTTTGGATGCTGTAGTTCGGGTACTTGATAATAAACCTGTCGAGGTTAGAGAAGATCACGTTGAGGTTGTGTGGTTGTGTATGACCTACTTTAGCAATGGTGAAATACTCAACAATAACTGAAGCACAGTTCATTGCGAGGTTGACAAGAATTGCTGTTTCCGTGGAAACACCGTCTAGTATGCCTATAAAGAAAGGTCCAAGTAGTTTACAAACAAGGTCAATTCGCCGCATTTGCGAGTTCATGGCTATAAGCAGATATGTTAACAGCTTCCATATGATATGTGAGAGAAAACATACTTCGAAGTGCAGTAGTATCCGAGCGTGCCACAACAATGACCCAATCTCTTTCTACTGACACAAGATTCATGATAGCGGCTAGTTTCTCAATGCATGCCATGAAGATCAAGGCTGCAAGCAGACCGACCCGCAGTTCATCTGAAGGGCTTTCAAGTCTGCTGAGTATGAAAAATATGACGCATGAGGCAGCAACAACAAGTCGCTGTGAGACTACTCGGGTTAGGGTCATCGATCATGAGGGCTTCTAATGACCTACCAATTGACAGTCTCACTGTATTGAGGCGGTCTTTGCGATCGATATAACTCCCGACCCATGACGACAAGCTAATCGCAGAAGCGCCTCTCACTATCGAATATATAGCAAGGGGCATCAAGGTCCCGGGAAATATTGAGGCGAGATATAAGACGCTCCCATATTCAAAGACTCGTGAGTTCCATGTTGAGAGGGTATGAGATATATAGAGTCTGCGCGCGCTTTGGCCGAGTGTCCATTCGGGGTCAGCATTGCTAGTGCTAGTGTTACTACTAAGGCCTTCATTGTTACTGCTGATTTGGCTTAATGATTGATACTGTGAATGAATGACGCCGGTTGATAAAGCTGGTGATGTCGCTAGTAAAGGCGCCGTTTCTTCATCTCCGACACCGGTAGTTGAAGCCATAATCGTCAATTCCTCAATCTTCGGATATTAGCAAGTAATCACACTAGTACTAAATAAAGAGACATATGAGAAAACTTCAGAATTGTATATAAAAGTCAAGTTGAGTCTACTTATTGAAGATTGTTGAGGAATGGCCAGTCGCTACTCGTATCTCGCCTGATTCTTGATTGTCGGGTTCTATAAATGCCGGCCCCATCGGCGATCTACCAACCCCCACTATCCGACCTAGAGTCGGCCCAATCCCGAAAGACTTCACCTAGAAAGGCAATGTCTCAAACAGACACTTCTTTATACTTGCAATATCTATCAATGTAAACTTGCGATAACATTATTTCCGTACTACCTTACTAAGAAGTCGATGTCGGGGTCAGAAAGCCATCGCGACTTTCTAGATGGAGCTTCCTCAATCATCACACAATCAAAGACACTAGATATTGCAGAGGCTGTATATGTTGATCAGCTAATACGAATATCAGCTTCCCTAGCCACTCGTGTAGACTATATATGATGCTCTTCTTTCCCCCCTGCTAGATGTCCACTAACACCTTTCATCTGAGTTCTAGCAGATGGCATCAATAGTAAAGATTCCCTTCTTCATTGTGTCTGAAAGTTTGGCGACGACGTTCCCCGGCACCATAGAGACAAACAGGGGGCTAGATCTCTCCAGTGACACTGTCGTCCTCCTCCATGTCCTCGTCCTTGACAACTGCGTCGCTGAGCTCCTTCTTGACAGCCTTGGACTCACTCTCAGGGGTCTCTGTTACTAGGTTAGTAAAAGGCTTGATCTGAGGCCTAGGTATGATCGACTTACTAGGAGCGCGACGCTTGCGAGGGGTCACTTTGGGTGTCTCGTAGACATTGTCTTCATCAGAATCACCGCCCTTCTTGGCCTTCGGTCCCCGCTTGCGCCCTAGATGAAGGGGCTAGTTAGTCTACTAGAATATCGCGACTAGAAGGGGGGGCATATGGCTTACCAGGAGTCGCCTTTTTGGCTGGAGTAGACGGAGAGCTTCCGTCGTTCGACTGCGCCTTGAAGGCTTCGATCTTCTTATTGAAGAACGTCCACTGATTCTGCAGACTTTTGACGGTGCGTCCTTCCATGTTGATCTCGGACCAATTGATGGACTTGCCCTCAGGCTTCAACTGGGCGATGATACGCAGAAGAAGCTCGTTCTGTTGTAGTCGTTAGAACCCTTGTAGATAGATCGGAGATATGATCGGGACTTACCTTTGCCTCATCGGTCCAGGCGTTGGGCTTCACAGCGGCGTCTGACATTGTGTCTGCTGAATCCTTTAGGGAAGCAAAAGCGAAGGTGGCGCAAAGGGCTTGAAGAGGTGGCAGATGAGAAGAAGTGATATGCCCTAGCAACGGCCTTGAAGATAAACCGGAGATGAAATGATGGAAGAAAAGTTGAGTGTTGTGGTGAAAGAAGAAAGGATCTCTGAGAGTTCCTAAACCTGTTAACGAGCCCTTAAATACTAGAAATCTGAAGTAAAGATGTAAGAAAGCGTTTGGATAGAAGAATAGAAAGTATTGAGAGGCAGCAAACAAAAGGACACCCCCTCACTAGGTACCTAGACAATTGCAGAAAGCAAACGGCTCCTAGAAAAGATCGGACGAAACGGCCATTGCAATGAACCACCCAACGCACTCCGACTGTAGTCCAGGGGCCACCAGCAAACGGATCTGAGAAGAACAATAAGAGGAATAATAACTAGGTAGCACTTACTGTAAGCGCTGCAGAGTTACCGCAAGGCTCAATGGAAGAATCTGTTGAAGGGCTTGGTAAGCAGGGATGAGAGGATTGTTCTTGTTGAAAGAAGACTGCCGACTCTGGCCAGAGAAATGTGAAGGGGAGAAGGAGAAAGAGAAGGAGAGGAATTGGAGGATGGGGATTATATAGCTCTCACGATCTCAGAGAGAAGGGCAGCGAATCACGCACACACAGAGGTTCTCAACGCTCAAATCTCACGAGCCAGTGGCTAGCGCACTGCCGCCGTGAATCTGCCACTGCCTGACACTGCCAACGGCTTGAGAAGTACCATCTCGTCTATTTCTATGGTTAACTCGTGCCATCATATACACGTCTTGGATTCCCGTCTCCAAAGACCAAATCGCTGATGCCAGTGAAGCTCCAGTCTCGTCTGCAGCGAGAACGCCCTTGATGCAAATCGCCCAGTTGCCACTAATAATCAACGACAAAAACCACGATCAAACGCAACGCAACGCAACATAACTGCCAGCTCCACGCACCACATGCTTGCATCGCGCCTGTTGCCTCCCAGATCCAGAACCTGCTATCCTCGTCATCTTGTGGACTCCTGTAGAAACCCCGAAAAATCACTCTGTATCGCGTTGCTATATGTGGTATCCTCTCCAGTGATCAACAACTAAGTAGTTAGTCTTCTTGGTATCCCATGTTGACGATAAAAAGACATGAAGACGAAATTCGACCCAATCCATAAACTGTCAACTCCGCAAAACAAAACCAATCAATTACTTCATCTTCATTCGAAACGCCATGAATTCTCGGAATCGATGCTCATGATCCTCGCATGCGGCTGCCCAGCGTCGACGAACATCCATATCTTGTTCCAGCCAGTTGTAATACTCCTGAATGTCAGCATCACCCCGGTTCTCCAAGAATGAATACCCCTTTTCTTCTCGGGTACGAGTGATGTGCGACTTTCGGGTGGCGAAATGGTCCACAACCTGGGCGTTGAACGTGTCCCATTGCTTTAAGTATTGTTCAAAATCTTTGACATATGTCTCCCAAGAAAGCGCGCTTGGCTTTACGCCGTTGACAGTAGCGGCAGCTGGGATTTGAGGAGCAATAGGTGCCGTCGGAAAGATCAATGGGTGGACCTTGGGTAGCTTCATTGGAATCTGAGGTGCTGCTTTGCTTTCAAATGGCAAATTGTCCTTCAGGTCAGAGAAAGACTTCAAGCCGGAACTCTGTTGAGTGAACGGTGCCACATTTCTGAGGTCAGCGAAGCTTGCTTGGAACTCTTCGCTATCCTCAGATCCCATGTTGTTTGGATTGAATGCCTTTCTGGGACTCTCAGGTCTGTGCTCATTACCGTTGACAGTGTCAACGTTGCCGGGTCGCCACTCGGGTCTCGTGGGTTCGACGTTGATGTTTCGGGCAGCATGAGGAGCAGGTACCACTCCCGGAGCCTGTGTTGTTCCAACTGGTTGCTGAGGTTGACTCACAGGCTGGGCAGGCTGTGGTGAAGGCGTAGTCTGAACTGGCTGGGGCGAAGGTACCTTAGGGGGTCGGGGTGGCGGCATTGAAGATGGCGCAGGAGGAGTATCTATGTCCATAGCCTGGGGACTCTCAGCAGCAGGCGGCTCTTCTTGCACCTTTCGGCCACGCCATTCCAAAACCTCATCTTCGCTGCTGCTGTCGTCCACAAGATTGGCATGGCTTGACTTTTTGGACGCTTTCGGCTTTCGTGAGTTTGTTCGGGTAGACCGTGTGGGAGATACAGACTTTGACGGCTGAGGAACAAATGTTTGGGGACCAAAGTCCCAACCTGCAGGGTTAAAGGCTGACTCGGGCTTAGCAGAGTCGGATCTCTCAGCATCAGACATGAAACTTGGTGTACTCTTGCCGCTCATTGGGGGCCGCTTCCCTGGGGATCGGCGACCTGGCTTTCGGGGCCTACTTGGGCTGTCCTGTTCAGTTCCACCGGCATTGAACTCCCATCCAGCAGCATCCTCTTCGTCAGCAAAACTAGTGTTAATATTGTCAGTACTTCGTCGGGAGAACCGATGGTGGTCGGGTGATGTTCGTGCGAAAGTGTCATCATTGACAGGGAAACTAAAGCTGTTCGAGTAGACTTTGTTAGCACGATTCGGCATGCTGGGGTGTTTAGAATCGCGGTCTTGGAGCTTCGGCTTCTTAGCAGGGCTGTCAGGACTCGCGTTGTTGATGAGTTGCTGTAAGAGCTCCTGTTGCTGGCGCTCAAACGGAGTCAATTGGTGAGTTGAATCCTGTCTACCACTAGGCGACGGCTGAGAGTGCTTGATTGGGATTTCATATGGGCAATGATTGCCTAAGGAATCATACCCGTGGTGACCACGACACTTGTTTGAGCTCTTCGGGATTGGGCGGCTTGATGTTGTAGAAAATAGATTGCCATACATTGTTGGGCCACCAGGTGAATCAGTTGCTGTCTTATAGTTAGTATCAAGATGTTTGAATTGACGACTTTCACTGACGCTTATCATTTGCGGGAAACTCGGTAGCCTGCTGGTTAGGGCCCAGTGGAACACTCTTAAAACCACTACGAGTCTTCTTCAACGGTGCCTTGGGACGGTCTGCCGGATCCCGAGGTATCGAAGGTTGTTCAGGGGCCGCGTTATTCACAGGAACGTCCTCAGCCTTTCCACCCTTTGGTGCACTGGCACTGCGTTGTCGGTTGAAGGCTTCATTCTCAGAGGCAGATTGATCTTGGCGAGTTGCTTCCCGAGTACTCTTAGCCCGGTTTATTGAGATGCCATCGAAAGGGTTGGTCTTTTCGCCTCCGTTTGACGACGCATAAGGAGTGCTTTGTCGGGGGTCTGCTGTACTGTCTCGGTCTCTGAATTGGCTTAAAGGGTCAGGCATCGCAGTTGGGGGCGGCCGTTGGGGAGTAGGAGGAGGTGCTTGTTGTGGAAGGTCAGAGCCAAATCGCTGCGCATATCGTTCCGAAGCAGGTCTCGAGCTGTAGTTGCTACTTGATACAGGCGGTTCATCACCACCTGCTGTCCGAGGATGGAAGCCTGTCTTTCTTGCGCCAAACGATGCCTCTTGACGTTGTCTGGCAGATTCAGTCCGTGGTGGCGGAGGCGGAGGGGGAGGTCGTGGTTGATCGTTCGCTTTGGCCGATGCACCCTTTCGCATGTTTTCGAACGCTCGGGCAGCATTCTTCTTCGATTCGGCATCTGATGCTGTATACTGCTTTGCAGTGGGAGGAACTCCCGTAGAGAAACGTTGCCATCTTTGTGCGCCCGATGGCGGAGCTCGAGGATTTGCATTGTTCCGCCGAGGAGGGGGGGGATACTGGGCGCTGACATTTGACCACGGGTTACCCTTAACACCCGAAGCTCCTGGAAATCGGCCGCGCCCTCGCGAAGCATCGTGCTTGGCCTTCTGTTCAGGGTCGGAGAGAATTTCGTGTGCCGTCTGGATAATCTGGAACTGTGTGTTCACTTCTGCCTCTCGTCCAGGATTGCGATCTGGATGGTACTTGAGAGCTACAATTCGTGTCAGCGGCTGTACCAAGGGTAAGAGCTTCGTTGTTCTGTACCAAGTTTCCGATATTGTTTTCGAATTTCCGCGGCGTCTGCCGTCGGTGGCAGCTCTAAGTCTGCATAGTAGTCTCGGGGTGTACCCATCACGATGAAAGGCCCCAGTCCGCTAGCAATCAGGTGCACGCAACCTCAAGATATGTACTTTTAGTCTTGAAGGGTTCGGGTATCAACAAGCGAATAGTTTGTGGAAATGCATGAAGGCCAGTCTTCGGTGTCGCCTGTGTCGAGTGGCGTTTCAGGTGTGCGAGAGACTTGTCGTTGGAGTTCGAATTGGTCACTGTCGCACAATGGGGTTCTGTACTCAAATGCAGGAGTACGTTCTCGATCGAGATGCACGAGTATGAAGTCGTACCTTGAAGGTTAAATGTTAGCAGGTATAATCGCCAGAAAGTCGAGATCAAATCAATGAGGTTGGGCAAGGGCTATGAAGACAACCAGAGAGCGTAGGACTTGAAGGATATATCTGATCAGCCACGCAGCATCACAAGGATAGACCCGGTGTCGGGTGGCTACCTCAGCTAACTGTGCCTCTTGACATGCGCAGCAACAGATGCGGATTGGTGGTACTGATTGGTATGTTGCTGATCCAAGGAAAGGGGAGAACTATGTACCAAGATGACGTCAAATATTCAACGTGAGGCTGTTGATCAAGGAGCGACTCTGTATGACCAAGGATGAGAGTACGTTTAGTCTAAAGAGGGGATGGAAAGGTCAGTGAATGAAGGGGGAGATGCGATGAAAGTGCTAAAAGAAAGAGGGAGATCTGAAGCTGGTGGTGATCGGAGAATAGGTGCTGTGCCTTTTTTGGATCTAGGCGGAGCTCAGGTGAATGAATGGGTGAAGTCGAAGGGTATCACCTACACTTGAACTACCAGGACCCTAGTTCACGAGGCCGCGTTGAATGGCTGTGGCTCAGCTCCAGAGATCTTTGGACCCTGAATTTCGCGGCAGATGTTTCGTAGCGCCTCTTTCGAGGT